CTAATATTTGCCTGCCTTCCCTATTAATTTCCCCTTCTTAATTTCCCCTTCTATATATAGGCAAACCTGACTGTAGCATTTTACATTTTTATCGCTCATTCTAACTAACTGGTGAACATGAATTGGGCTCATCTAATTGGGGCCTTTCAACAATTGCTTTTACGAGGAAGAATGAGGGATATTAGACAAGTGGCAAGAACTAGAACAACCATGAAGAAAACAGCTTTGTTCGACTAAAATTTAGTGTATGATTCTAATACCTCAAGGTTGAGTTGTTGAGACAAAAAATGCTATCATAGCTCTCATCTTGATGTTTATTATTCCTGAAGTTGACATCCTCCTTCAGAATTGGAGAATCTTAAACTGAAGTGTGTGGTTCAGAGTTTAGTAGTGTGGTCATTTAACAGAGTGCCTTGTTTCCATTTTCATGTCGTTTTTCATTTAATTCTATAATTTTTATTCCAGTCAAGTATCACATCGACATTCAATCGTTTTGTTTAATAACATCTTATTTAAGTTAGCTAAGTACTAATTCCTTTAGAACTGAACAATTACTCTGTTTACTCAACCAACTAATTTACACCAAATCATATTATTCCTTGTTGAGAGAGACATGCTGGTGGTGTTGTCATTTCTACAAATTTAATTTTCAAATTTGACACTTGCATTACGTATTTGTAATCAGTTATATCGACGTAGTTATCTCAAGAACTTGTCTTTTTATCTGTGTAAACATATACTTCTTAACTATTTTCTACCGCGTGACTTTTAGACTACCTTTTTCTCTGTATATACGGTTAATAGTAGTGTGGTCACGTTTCTAAACAATGTATCTACCGACATTCTTAGAATGCATTTATACAATCATTATCTATTTACCTAAAGCAAATATACACATGTATGGGCTTCCTTATAAAAATATGAAGAAATGCTTGTTTCTTTTTCTGTCCACTTGTAATTTCAAAGACATTTAATGCCTCATCTTAACTATACTCAATTAATGTATGTTTTTATGATGACTGAAGATCTCTTTTAGTCAACTTATATTTAGCCCCTTTTTGATTCCCATACTTTTAAAACTCTTTTTTCTACATATTCATTTTCAACCACACATTCATATAATAAAATATTTGCACGTAAATCCAAAACTTTTTCATACTTTTCAACCACACATTCTCATAAAAAATACTATTCAAAACTCTTTTTTTTTTTTTTTTTTTGGAAAGAATGATCACCAAACAAGGACTTAATGATTATATATATTTTTCTTCTCCATCATCCCAATCAAAAAGTCAAGCTGTTAATCCGTTTGGTCACTGATTTGGACTGTAAATGTTACGCCTTATAAGCTAAACAATCTAGAAGAATAGTCGGAGAACCCTGCGGAAGAGTTTTTGCTGGGTTGTGTTGAGATCGATGACCAATAATTCAGGAATTGAGATTTAATGAATTTCACTTGTTGTAATTGAAGTATTGAACAAGATCACAAATAACCTAAGAACAATATTAAAGTAAGTGAAAGAAGAACTGGCAGAAGGAACGATGTTTTATTAATTCACTATGAAAGGAGAGCACAATACAGCAAAAGGCTTTAACAATACTGAAAGAGGAGCCTTGTATTTATAGTATAAAATCTAGCCCTCAAAGAGTCCCAAAAAAGGTAAGAAATCTAATGCAATTTAGACTCCTATTTGAGTCACACTTCTAACAATCTCCACTTTAACTCAAATTTCGGTGCAACGAACAAAGCTCCAAAATTTCTCCACCTTGAGAAATAATCTGTCTGCATCAGAATGAATTGACCAATCTCCTCAACGCAATAACCAAACTCTTCACGGTAACACGTTCCCCCGCCCGGTGTCCACAAGCGACACCCGAACCCAAACTTGAGTTCCCAAAATTCCTTTTGAAATTAACAATCACTGGACAGGGTCAAAGCACACCCTGTAGCAGAAACCACACCAAATGCACAATCAGAAGGTCCCTTGCCAATATTGTCACCTTCAATGATTTCTAAAGCATTACAAACAACTCCAAAACTGTACCTACGCTCCATGAGTCCATTGACATTACAAGAACACAGTGTACACGCTAAAATTGGTGGCAAAGCGGAATCACCAACACTCCCTTGAGCAAAGTTCTTAACTGACCCAGAGCCAAACCCGAGAGATACTGTACCAAATTGAATGTCCACCACGGTACTGAACTTGTCCAAATGTCTCTGAACTGGTTCTGCGCTCCCCTGCAAGATGTACAACTGGGATTTCCTCCGTCCCTCCAGTACAACCCGGACACCCCTTCGAACCTTCAAGATTCCACTTCCACCAGAAAATTTGTACCCTTTTTCATCCAAGGTACTAAATGATATGAGATTCTTTGTCAAGTCTGAAACATGGCGAACCTGATCAAGTGTCCTCATTGTTCCATCCTGTAGTCTCAATCTGACCCGACCGATTCCTGCAACCCGACAAGATTGGTTGTTTCCTATGACAACTCCACCTTGCTTCATCGTCTCATATGTTTGAAACAAAGCCCTATTGGGACATATATGATATAAACAAGCAGAATCCAGAATCCACTCCTCAGGTTTTGATTTCCCGTCAGATACAGCCAACATCACATCTCCATCATCATAAAAATTTTCAGTAATATTAGTCTCGTTCGAATTACCTGATTGCCCCGCATGATTTACATGTAAATCACCTTTAACTTGCAACTTGTCGCAATTTTTCTTGATGTATCCTTTCCTCTTACAGTAATAACAATACACATTGCTGTACTTCACCTTCGATCTACCCCTCCGTCGATCACTATGAGTAACAAGAGCATCCCCACTCCTAGATGCAGGATCTCCAACCAACAACTCCATCTTCTCTTTTGAGAACAAGGCGTCGTATACCTCCTCAATGGATAACATGTCACGACTATACAGAATAGTATCAGGAAATGATGAAAAAGAATTGGATAGCGAACACAACAGGACCAAGGCTAGATCCTCTTCATCATATTTTACCTCCAACGTCTCCAAATCTGCAACGATCTCCTTGAATACAGCAAGGTGGTCCTGCAGTGACCCTCCTTCCGCCATGCGATGAGAATACAACCTTTGCTTTAGAGTCAGTTTGCTCGTCAAACTCTTTGTTATGCACAACTGCTCCAGCTTGAGTCACAAAGCAGTCGCTGTCTTCTCCTTCAAAACATCTTGCAGAAAATTATTGGATAAATGAAGTTGAATTTGCGCTAAAGCCTTCCGATCCTTCCGTTGTTTCTCCTCCATAGACAAGCTTGCTGGCATTCTATCAAAACCCAACAAAGTATCATCAAGATCCATCTGCGTTAACACAACTCTCACCTTTACTTGCCACAACGAAAATCTTGTTTGCGATCCAATAGATCAATTTCATACTTCAATGAATTCATCTCTGAAAAATCTCAATCTAATCACGAAGAACTTGCAACCTGCAATACCCAAAACTGAAAACTACCGAACGTGCAAGGGGCAAAATAGTCCGGAATCATAATTTTGCCCAAAACTGAAATTGGACACCACCACAAGGTCCGTCTCATCGTCCGGAGAAAACTGCTTGAAGACACCATCGTCGAAAAACGTCTCACGCGCCACCACTCGCTCGACGGAGTTACCACCACCGGCGACTGGCCAGAAAATGCGCAGACGACCTGTAACCCTTTCTGGACCGCTTCTGCCTGCTGAGTCCACTGGTGGTGTTTGTTTCTCCAAATTCTTTCTGGTTTGACCAGAAAATGCAAAAATAGATTCGGCAGAAAATCGAAAAATTGGACAGATTCGTTTTCTTATTTTCTGGTAATTTTTAGACGATTTTTCGACCAGTTTCAGGCCAAAAATCCACCAATAACCCCTCTCTGATACCACTTGTTGAGACCAATGACCAATAATGCAGGAATTGAGATTTAATGAATTCTACTTGTTGGAATTGAAGTATTGAACAAGATCACAAATAACCCAAGAACAAGATTAAAGTAAGTAAAAGAAAAACTGGCAGAAGGAACGATATTTTATTAATTCACTATAAAATAAGAACACAATACAGTAAAAGGCTTTAACAATACTGAAAGAGGAGTCTTGTATTTATAGTATAAAATTTAGCCCTAAAAGAGTCCCAAAAAGGTAAGAAATCTAATGCAATTTAGACCCATATTTGAGTCACACTTCTAACAGGTTGTTGATGATTTGAGTAGAACAAAGAATATAATAGAATCAACATTTTTACAACTGGGGTGTATTTTAGGAACTTTTTGGGATGAATGAGAAAATTACTTATCATTAATTTAGTGAAGTATCATTTTTTCTGTAATATAGCTCATTTTAAAGCTGATAATTTCTAGTTTTCAGTTGGATTTAAACCAACCACATGAATCTACATTTGGCATAAAAAACTATTACCTGTAAATTATCACCTGTGGGATAGTGAAACAGTGACCTGTAAGTGATTGCTCATTTGGATTCACTAGTTAGCTGGACACACAAGGTTCGATTGGTTAAATTGGTGGATCTTGCTTGCTGGTCATCCACTGTGGATTTGGGGCATGGGAAGTTGTAAGATCACATGTATGAAAATATTGCCCAGATGAATTATGTTTATTGATTTTTTGTTGGAACTTCTCTTAATTCTTTTAATACTGAAATGGTTTAGTAACACTACCTTGGGTATTATAGATTGGGCCCGAATCATTATATATTTTGTGCTGTTGACTGGATAGATTTGAGTTTCTTGCAATTTAATAGTTGTTCAGACACTGTTTCAAGTAAATAAATGGATGTTTGGAATTGTTGTTTGTTTATTTTGCATGAAAGGCTGCTAGAATCATATATACCCAGTTATATTAGATAATTGAGGCAGTGCTATATCATTTTGTTTGTTTGAAAAATTTATCAATTGGTTCTTGTGGAAACTTCTCCATGGTATACATTGTTTTGTTTTACAATGGTTTCTTCCCATAACATAGTTTTTTCACTGTAGGCTGACATCTTTCGTGGAGAGCAAAACATTGTAGATCTGTACGTCATGCTTCTTAGATTTTCAAGGTGAGAATGGATATAACATGTCATGATTTATTGTTTGATTTACTGAAATTTTCATTTTTGCAAATAAAATTTCAAGGTAGTAGGAAATGTGGAGTTTGGTCTACTGAACTTGTTTTGATGCCTCAGCCACTTACTGGAATCTCCATGATTTCTTATTTCCTAGTTTGATTATGGATACAATACCGCGCCATCAAGATTATCGGGCATCCCCACAGAGCGATAAAGTTTATCTTAAAAAGGTAACGACTTAAAAATCTTGCCTGTCCCATTTTTTAGTTGTGAGACTATTTCTAACTACTGTCTTTTTTGTTTAATCTACCTGTTGCAGAAATTAATAAATGCAATAGCTGACCTTGTGGAACTGAAACCTGCTGTTCAAGTGAAAGTCCAGGAGTTACACAGTAGGAAACAACCTAGCGCTAACCAAAATAATGCTTTGGAATCTTCTCTGGGAAGTCCTGTTGTCAAACAAGAAGGTTGGAATACTTATAGCAGAACTAAGGTCGAAACTAATGCATTTAGTTAGTGTTACCATCTAACTGAAATTCTTTATTTTTTTAGTCTTGATGAAACCTAAACTTATTGATGAAATATGAACTTATGTTGTAGTTTGTAACTAGATACTGAAACTTCACTTAAGAATCTTGGGGCAGTGTTCTGTTATAATTGTACATCACTTTTTCTAAATAATGAAGTTGCTTCTGATAAAGATTATACTGAAAAATATTTTATATTTATCATTTTGCATCTCACAGACTAGTCCGCCTGTTGCTAGTGAATTTGCATATCAAGGTCTGAAGACTCAGCATCTCTCTCTTGTCAAACCAATGGAACAGCATCACCGCCGAATGTCAGTATATCCATGGAAAACCCTTCATTCATCAAGCACGAGGGATAACGTATATTTTAAAGTGTTATTATAATATTAGGATTGTATTGCTCCCTTAAGATTGTTCTTTACATCTCATTTTCAAAATCCTAGAATTAACAGTTTGGCCTTTAACATTGTTCGATTCACCTGCCCGGCTACAGATTCTGATAAGGAGAATTCCCTGAAATTATTCATTAAATGAATCTTAAGTTTTACTTTTGATTCTATATAAGCGATAATGCATTGGATTCACGCAATTTTCAAATAGGCTAACTAAAGTTCCAATGAACTTAAACTAATTTTGAACTTCTAACTTCCTTTTCTCTCATCCAGCTAATTTAGTACCTCTTATACTAGAAATGTTATCCATTATTGTTAAAAGCTTTATCTCATTTTTGGGAACTTCTACTTATTGGATCCATAGTATAGGGGATTGGTACATAAACAGTCTCTTTAAATTCTTTCCTTTCTCTTATCCTTTTTCCGCTGTATCAACTTGAGTACTGTTTAGAACAACACTTTATGCTTACACAAACAGAACACCTTACAACTGGTTAAAAGTCTTTTCCTGCAGCGCAAATTGTTATCTAGGTGGTTATATGCTTTTCTATTCCAAGCTTCCTTTCAAACCAGAAATTATTTCTTTTATGTGCCTCGCATTTAAATTGAAGTGATTTTACGCAAATGTTTTAAGACTGGGAACTTCGGAACTTCTGGGACTTTACCTAATAAATATGTGAGACTATTTCATAAGATCATTAGCTCGGTTGCTTTTATTATGCGTGGGAACATATATATCTCAAGTATTTGTTTTCTTCTGTTCTTTGATATGGAAAGGAAACATTGTCTATAGTAGTTCTACGTAATTGGTCACCGTACAAATTTTATTGGTGAATTTAGCTCTTCTGATATCAGCAATATATATTTATGATTGGCATATGCCAGGGATCCTGATAAGAACTCCAATTAGCTTTTTGAGATGACTTCATCTTTGGTAGTCCATCAGCGCAGGAATTGGCATCTCTCCATCTGTGCAAGATCATTATTTGTAGCTTTTTTTACATTTTTGCCAGCATCCGCAACCTTTAAGCATACAGCATACTGTTCTGGTTTTCATGATTTGCTGTACAATCCAATCATCCACTCGAATGTATTGTGCTCTGAAGTTCTTGCTTTTAGCTACATCAAATCTCTTGCTAGGTTCAAAGTTGTTCTCAAGCATTTGTTCTACCTCACCCAGGGGTTTCTCATGCCACATTTATTTTACTCTGTGACTTGTTTTTCTTCTCTTCTCATAGTTATTGTCTCGCTTCACTCGTGTGATTTATGGGCATTTCTTCACCAGAAATTCTTTTAAAGCACTAAAATATCTCAACTTTACTTTAAGAAAGAGGCATCAAGGGTGCCAAACCTTCTGTTTTCTTGCTTAACAAAGCCGCACAACTCAATGCAACAAACAAAAAGCTTAGCTAGAATAAAATTAGATATATAGATGAAAGAGAAATCTGCCAAGCCCTGTATGGATGCCTGTACTACCTTATAAAGTCTCAAGAAAGTATTCTAATGTACTACAATTCTTCTGCCCCTTCCCTGTAACACTGGACAACCTTGTTTTAAAATCTTAATGACATCCCCGGTCTCATTTCACGTCTTCTAATCAAATATTTAACATTAGTGGATTTCACTCATTAATAAAGAACTGGATTGAATATGGTACTATGTGATTCTTTATCTGTCTTGTAGTTTCTATATTTCTTTTGTATGTTTTTCACAGATCATGGAGTATCCCTCGCCCGAAGGATAAAACTCTTGCTAGACATTCTATTTTAGGTCCAATTGGGCTTTGTGGACAGTGGCAACCTCCTAGTAGTAATTATAAGGTGGTGTTACAGTCTTTCTCCGTACATTTTGTAACATATATGTAGTTTATAACTTTATATTGTAAATGCAGGTAGAATATCCAAGCAATTTAGACTTGACTCCTATTCAAGCCCCAAGGTTAGACCTCTTAGCAGAACTGTATATCATATATTACGTATCAAATTTTTAATCATCAGTTCTTCATCTAAAATTTTCTAGTGGGATTATACCTTTTGAAAGATGTGAAATTATAAATGTGGAATTTGGTTTTCCAAAATCTCTAGGTAGTTTTCATATGTTTTTCCTCTTTTTCTATGGCCATGTGCTGACTAACAATTATGGTTTTTGTCTGTGACTGGGATAGCTGTCTGGAGCAGCCTTGCCATAATGGTACTACGATGAGAAAGGATGATGGCAACTTGGAGCGAGAAAGATACACTTTGGAATCCATAGTTCTGCCATCAAAAGAAAATCAAACGTTTCAGACTCAAGAACCTGATTCTCTAATTTCTTTTGAAACCGATGAAAGCCTTCCTCAAGAAGAAATTGTTGCACAACCTAAACCACCTCCTGTCCTAGCAGATATACAGGATCTGATCGTGTGATCATCTCCAGCTCTGGTTTCTTTTGAAACTGTTGAAAACCTTCCTCTAGAAGAAATTATTGGACAACCTAAACCACCTCCTGTCCTAGTAGATGTACAGGATCTGGTCCCAAGATCAACTCCAGCTACTGAAAGAGAATGTGGGATGGCAAAGTCTTCCAGTGATGGTTTAAATTGTTCTGAAGACCCCCTTCAATTGCACATAGTACTGTTTTTACATTTATATTTCATTGTTTGCTTATTGTTCAGTTTAGCTTGATTTTTCTGGAAGAATCCCTATTTTTTTGCTTGCTTAATTGAAACTTTACAGTGGGGTTCTAGAGTTGATGAATACTCATTCCATTTATATAATTTATCCAGTCTACAGAACTGAAGGACTGCTTCATGAAGCTAGCTAGCCAAGTCAAACACAGATAAAAACTTAGAAACTTGTGGCGTTCTTGCAGGTTCCCTTGTGAGTATCACTTCAAATCTTGTATTTGCTATTTAGTGTTATTGTAGTTATCGTCATTGCTATTGTGGTACTATTTTTTCCAAGGAATATTCACTTTTGTTATTTGTCACAGAGAAACCGAACATTTTCCATTACAGCTCTTATTATTCCAAAGCAAGAATCAACATCAAATTCAGTAAGCAAACGCTCATATTTAACGTGTTTGCATGTTGATTGTGCTGTACTGATTGTTCTTTTTGAGCAGTGTCAGACCACAAATGAGGAGGAAATATTTGAAGTACAGGATAAGCAGTCTTTTTCCATTGGGCTGGATTCATGTGAGTATACTATGCAGTGATCTGAATGAAATTATATTCTGTAATATGCTTCCGCTTAAATTTGATATTTGGAATTGATTTTTAATCTCATATCATAGTCGTTAAATGTACAAAGTGTCACTGAAGTGCCAATATCTCTTGGGGCTTTAGTGCAGAGAAGAAAGTGATGTGCGCCTAGTTGAAGCAACATGTTTAATATATCTGAAATAAATCTTCATACGCTCACAATGGGTCCAGCAAATTATGGTTCCAATAATTTCAGCTTAATTATGAGCAACGTCACTGCTGAGATAATTTTAGTAAATGATTTTATAGTACGATCCCCCATTTTAACAGCTAAAAATTCATTACCAGCAAATATGATTATACTACAGCAACTGTCAAGATAAAAATACATAAAAACCAAAGAGGATAAATAAAGAAGAGAGTAAAATATAAGATGATAAAATGCTGTTTTTGTGCTTTGCCATTTCATGTTCTTTTAGCATTCGGGCTTTGTAGCCGTAGCTCCTGACTTTTAGCTTTAGAGGCATTATAATGAGCCAAGGTTCTTTTTTTTTTTTTATTTTTATTTTTTTTATTACTGGTACTGGAAGACACCACCCAGTAGATTACTGAAAATGACTTTGATACAACCATTGATGTTAGATGTCCCACCAACTAACTAGTAAATATAAAAGGAAATGATAAACATGTTATAATATTTACATGTGGTATATACTGTATAGAACACCTGTTATTTTCCGTTCTTCTTCTTGCTTCGTAAGAGTTTCTTTTGTTCTCTCCATCTCTCCCTTCAAAAGTGGCTCCCTTAATTGGTATTGTGAAAGAGGGGTGTAACTCGGGCCGTATTGACCAAGAGCTTCAACAATTTTTTAAAACTATAATTGTTAATGGGATTAAAAGGAATTCGGGTTTTGTATACCTATCTAGCCAAATATTAATGAACTTGTAGTAACCTTTTCTTAGTAATTGCATCATTTATATTTTGTTGTTTCACTTTCTTACTTGCAATTATAGAAGCATCATCAACCTTAATTGGACTTGAAAAATTATCCTTGGAACCCACATGAATAGGCATTTTCCTTCCTCCTTCAATGATAGAAATTACTTCCTCTTCTTCCTCACATGTAAACAAAGACATAACTACATCTTCCCTTAACTTAGCATTATTCAATACATTCTCTAACTTCTTTGACTTAATTTTTTCCAATGCGTCATGACACTTGGCCTTTTGCTCTTGACTTACTTTCGGACACTATTTTACACCCATTCCCTTGATGTGCTCTATGTTCACTTTATGCCTATTAATCCCAGCCTGTGTAACTTTATCAGACAATGTACATCTCACATCATTAGGTTTACTAACATCTTCAAAAACTGCAGTTTCCCATCCAACATCCTCGGAACTTTTCTTCAACTCATTATTTTCAAAAATAGAATTAGATGCCATGGAAGAATCATTTTGCTTCATTGGCTGCAATTAAATTAAAGCAAGAATAAAATTTGATAAAAAACTAGAATCTTCAAGATCATTATAACCTAAAGATTGATGAGTTTGATAAATATTTTTCCCTCAAATTAAAAATCAGAGGAGAAAAATGACATTCTAAGTTCTAATTAGGTGAGCAATACAAAAAATGAAAAATGTACCTTTGTCTTTTTGTAACTTGATGAAGATCTTAGCAGTGAAACTAGAGGAAGATCGAAGAAGAAGGTTTGAACTCGGTGTCGATAATTTGCAACACTACGAAAAATTTGTTTTGATTTTTGACTTTTCTAAATGTAAAAATCCTACAGATTTCTGCATACATAATCATCGGCTAGGGTGATTTGGGCAAATTTGATGTTTGTCGGGCTTAATTTGCTTTTTTGTAAGTTAAAACGTGGGCTGGTCTTTGCTAGGCTAATTTGGACACAATTTTTAACACAAATGCGTGCGCATTTTGCCTTTTACGTGCATGCATATGCAGTCAGTGAAATTGATTGATCGCACTATCACACGCATACCTCATGTGCTAGGCGTTTCAAAAACAACCCGCGCATATGTGTGTTCATTTTAGAACTTTGCATAGTGCACATTTTAGAATACTGTTAATGCTCCCCATCATGTTCTTGCTCGTCTCTGATAATTTATGAACCTGGCATATCTATCCCTCGTGCCTGTTATGATTACATCTTGAAATTTAATTTATGATCATCTGCTTATTGTTTTGTAGACTCATCCAACCCAATCGTGTTTCATGTCATCGATAGATGTTCACACACATTACTCGTATCAGGTAATTATCTCCCTGATATTTCTTCGATGTCATTCTCTGGCCACATTGGTTTGACAGGAGAAAATGAGAATTGTTTTATTGGATTCACGTGTTGGGAAATTAGACCGCTACTGATTCCGCCAGGATCAGTGGGACGCAGAATAATTTAAACTGAGAAGAAATAAATGTAGCAAAAATAATAAGTGCAAGTGACACAAGAATTTACGTGGTTCGGCAATTGTGCCTACGTCCACAAACCCACACCAATTCTTTTACTATATCAACAAGAGAATAAAAGGAGTACAACAAATACACTCTCTGTATTTTATTTGCCTACGCAAAGACAATCTCTCTATTTTTCTCTCGTTCATTTTCTGCACAAACGAAAGCCTAATTGCTTCTCACTTTGTGCTTGCTCACTATCTCTCGTGTTTTCACTCAACACTTTTGCACTTGTTTTTGCTCTCACTTTGGCACATTTCTTCCTTTGCTTTGGCCTCCAATTTATAGGAAATTTTTCACCTTCCTCATTAATGCAAATCCAACATTTTCCACAAAGTTGGTTTGCATGGCAAAGAATTTCTTCCAAAAAAATTTCGGTGGCAGCTGCATGGTTTGAAACCTTTTCCATCCACATTGCTTTGTCAACAATTGCTTACCATGCATGCAAAGTCTTCAACATTTGCTGCCATATGTGTCTGCCACTATTTGGAAATTTTTGCCTGACACATGAGAAATTTGTGAAGCCTATAACTTAGGCTCCATATTTTCAACAATCTCCCACTTGGAGACTAATGTGGCTTCACCTTGAGACATCCTGTGAGCAGTTCCTTTTTAGTAAAATTGGTGTGCATTACCTTCCTCATCTTCATTTTAGAAGGCCAACTGAAGTTGAACACAACTCCAGTTTTTCCGTAGTTACCGTCTTGGTTAACATATCAGCTGGGTTTCTGCTGCCCTGGATCTTTTCCAGTGTTAATACTCCATCCTCCAAGAGAGATCTGATGAAGTGATAACGAAGTCCTATGTGCTTCGTTCTCGAATGAAATGCTGCATTCTTTGCTAGATGTATAGCACTCTGACTGTCACTGTGCAAAACATCCACTTCACTGCTTCCCAATGTTGTTTTCCTGGATTTGTCATGAATCTGCTCACAACTCCCACTGCATGAGCAATGTCTGGTCTTGTACAGACCATGGCATACATTAAACTTCCAATGGTCGAGACATATGAAATATTGAAGTTTCTTTCGTCTTCTGTTTTTGGAGACTAGTCGTTTGATAGACAGAAGTGATTAACCAATGGCATGCTAACTGTTTTTGCATTATTCATGTTGAACCTCTGCAAAACTTGACTAATGTACTTGGCCTGTGATAGCTGTAAAGTGTCTTTTCGCTTGTCCCTACAAATTCTCATCCCTAGAATTTGTTTAGCTGGACTCAAGTCCTTCATTTCGAATTCTGCTAACAATTGTTTCTTTAATTTCTGAATTTCGTTCATGTTTGGTCCCACTACTAACATGTCATCAACATAAAGTAGCAAAATAATGTAGCTAGACTCCAGCCTCTTAAAATAGCAACAATGGTCAGCATTGCACTTGTAGCAGTCATTTTTCTGCATAAATCCGTCAAACTTTCTGTACCACTATCTCGGAGCTTGTTTTAAGTCATACAAGCTTTTCTTCAATTTACACACAAGCTTCTCTTTTCCTTTGATTGACAAACCCTCTGATTGCTGCATACATATCTCCTCTTCTAGGTCACCATGGAGAAAGACAGTTTTCACGTCTAATTGCTCCAAGTGCAACCCCTCTGTTGCAACAATACTCAAGACTGATCGAATTGTTGTCAGCTTTACTACTGGAGAATAAATCTCTGTGTAGTCAATTCCTTCTTTCTGTTGAAAGCCTTTGACCACCAATCTCGCCTTGTATCTCTTTGATCCGTCATGTTCCTCCTTGACTCGATAGACCCATTTATTATGTAGGGTCTTCTTTTCTGTAGGCAACTCAACTAGCTCCCACGTTTGATTAGAGATAAGAGACTTTATCTCATCTTTCATTGCAAGCTCCCACTTAATTGCATCATT